ATATTCCATGCTCCTAGGTAGGAAGAACCAACATTATGAAGATGGGCATACTCCCAAAATTGCTCTACAGTTTCAATGCAATCCCTATCAAACTACCACCAACATGCCTCACAGACCTAGAGAAATCATTCCTAAAATTTATTTGGAATTAGGAAAGACCTAGAATAGCAAAGGCAATCCTGGGCAACAAAGACAAGACAGGAGGCATTACAATTCCTGACTTGAAATTGTATTACAATGCTACTGTGATAAAATCAACATGGTATTGGCAACGAAATAGACGTGATGATCAATGGAATAGATTAGAAGATGCAGAGGTCTCTACGAACACACTCAGCCACCTTATCTTTGAAAAAGGGGCCAGACATACTCACTGGAAGAAAGATAGCCTCTTTAACAAATGGTACTGGAAAAACTGGCTCTCTACATGCCGAAAACTAAAACTTGACCCAGGTCTATCGCCATGCCCTAAGCTAAAGTCAAAATGGATTAAAGATCTAAACATTAAAACAGAAACACTAAATCTCCTGGAAGAAAAAGGAGGAACTCTTGAAGACATTGGGGTAGGCAAAGAGTTCATGAAGAAAAATCAAGTCACATGGGAAACAGTTGAAAGAATTAACTACTGGGACGTCCTGTTATTGAGAAGTTTTTTTCACGTCAAAAGAAATTACCAAGAAATTAAAAATACAAACCACAAGTTTGGAAAAAATCTTGACAAACAAGTACAAAGGTCTGCTCTCTAGAATTTATAAAGAACTAAAAAATACTAGGGCCTCAAAAAATTTTTTTTCCTCCATAGTTTTATTGAGAGACAAATAGCAATGAGACAGTTTCAAATGTAATTGGTAGGACAGTTTCAATAATTAACACTTTGCATACTGTCTTCCTAGTGGTTATTTGCCATACGAGATGCAGATATGGTATCTTATTTACAAACACTGTTACAACAAATCCCTCTTTTCACTAAGAGAATGCAACTATATCCTAACAATTTTGAATACACAGATACAAGATGGACATTCATTTATATATCCCCGTTTTTGTTTAGTTCCGTCATTTGAATATTATAGGTGTGTTAACTCAGCAAAGTATTCTAAAAGAGTTCAGTAGTCCATAATAGTATTGGGTCTTCCGCTTGACTGGCAGTGTCAGAAATTGTTGACCTGAGTTCTCCACAGCTCAACATAACAACATGGCTTTACTTTTTATACTTCATTTTTATACTTTTCTGCTGGATGGTTAAAACTGATATAAAGCAAGACCTATGCAACAAGACTTGTAGCTTTTGGATATGATAAGGTCAGTCAAATCCCCTCAGGATTTATCCTGAGATCCTGTACCTTGGATTGTGGATCCTTTGTCAGTGTCAGCCATGTGGATGAGTCACGGCCATTGCTTGGTTAATGTACTCCCTGTGAAAGCCTGAGAGAATGTTTTCTCTCCATGTGACTCTCCTTAGGCACACTCTACATCATCAATCACTTTCTTCTTTGTAGGGACTCAAAATTTAAAGACCCAGTCCAGAAATGGGCATCCGAGATGAACACACACGTCTCAGAGGATGAAATTAAAGAAACGAGTAAATATATGAAGAAATGCTCCACATCATTAGCCATCCGTGAAATGCAAATTAAAACTACACAGAGATATCATCTCACCCCAGAAAGGATGGCTATCATAGATCAACTAACAACAAATGTTGGAGAGGATGTGGGGAAAAATGAACCCTTCTCCACTGCTGGTGGGAATGTAGACTGGTGCACCCATTATGCAAATCAGTGTGGAGAGTCCTTAGAAAACTTGGACTGGAAATCCCATTTAAACCAGCTATTCCTCTACTGGGAATTTTCCTGGAGGATCTGAAAACATCATATCATAGTGATACATGTGTGCCTATGTTTATAACAGCACAATTTGTGATAGCCAAATCTTGGAAACAACCAAAATGCTCATCACCTGAGGAATGGATGAAAAAGATGTGGTGTTTTTATACAATGGAGTATTACTCAGCTATAAAGGATGATAAACTTGAAGCCTTTATATTTAAGTGGATGCCACCGGAAGATATAAGTGAAATAAACCAGACACATGTGTAAATATCATATAGTTTCCCTAGTATAAGAACTCAGAAAATGAAATACAAATAGGCATAATACAATTAAAAGGAAAGCAAGAACTTGAGGACTAGACAATGAAGAGAGAGCAAGGAGAAGAGCTAGGAAACAAGACAGAGGCAAGCCATACAGTTACATGTACAAGATGGGGTAAGGCAATGATCCTGAGAATCTTCAGAAGATTTTTGGTTCTTCTTTTTTTTTTTTTTCTTTCTTTCTTTCTTTTTTTTTTTTTTTTTTCAGAACTGGGGATTGAACTCAGGCCCTTGCACTTGCCAGGGAAGCACTTATTCCACTGAGCCATCTTCCCGGCCCAGTTTCAGAAGATTTTTGAATCTAGCAGTTATTGGAAAGATTCTCATCCTGACTAACTATTTACCGACACCTGTGAATTAAGCAACTGTACTGAAGATGCCAATTTGTAATAGTGGGTTCATGCTTGGAATGCCTGTCATTCTGGTCTTCTGAATACAGACTGCTTGTCATGACATGCCATTTGCTGCTGTGCTGTTGCTCGGGTAGATGATTGTTTAAAAAGGAAGAGGATGGTGAATGAAGGCAGGAGACAGGGAAAGGAGTGTTGTGGCACTGTTCTGCAATAATGTATATGGTTAGATTTCTGGACTTATGTGTGAACATACATAATTCTTTATTCCTATTTTTTAAATGTATTTTAATTTTTTTGTCATATTGTGTAGGGATTTAAAGTTTAACATATCAATACTTTGTGAAAAATACCTGTTCCATGTTATGCCTAAAATGTTTGATATTCAGACAGATAGTGAGGTTAAGCTCAACAGCCTTGGTCATATAGTAATAACAATAAGCTTCTCTTCTGGAGGGTTAACAACTCAAGTTTGCAGACCAAAAATTAGAGAAAAAAAGGGGCCACAAGGAGAGCCAACAGTTGGCCCTAGCCTTCCAACATCAGTTAAGACTCAGGACATATGAGAACTTGTACTGTAACATCATGTAACTCAGTTGTGTCCCAAATTTTCTGATCAAGGAGATTATGGGGCCAAAGAGGAAAGTGATCAATGATGTGGAGTGTGCCTAAGGAGAGTCACATGGAGAGAAAACATTCTCTCAGGCTTTCACAGACGGCAAATTGACCAAGCAATGGCCGTGACTCATTCACATGGCTGACACTGTCAAAGGATCTACAATGTGAGGTACAGGGTCTCAGGATAAATCCTGAGGGGATTTGACTGACCTTATCACATCCAAAAGCTGTAATTCTTTTTACATAGGTCTTGCTTTATCTTGATCTTAACCATCCAGCAGAAAAGTGTAGAAACGAAGTACAAGAAATAATGCCATATTGTTATGTTGAGCTGTAGGGGACTCAGTTCAACAACTTCTGACATTCCCAGCCAAGTGGACGACCCAATACTATTATGGACTTCTGGACTGTTTTGGAATATTTTGTTGTGTTTACACACCTATAATATTTAAATGATGGAACTAAACAGAAAAAGGGGATATAGATGAATGAGCATTTTGTATCTGTGTATTGAAAATGGTTAGGATAGATATATAGCTACGTTCTCTTAACTCAAGGAATAGAGGAATTTATTCTAATAGTGTTTGTAAATAGGATATCATATCTGCATCTTGTACAACAAATAACCACTAGGAAGGCAGTATGCAGTGTGTTAATTATTGGAACTCTCTTACCAATTTGATTTGAAACTGTCTCATTGCTATTTATTTCTGGAGATCAAAAGAGATTTTTAGTACTGGAGATCAAACCTGGGTCATTGTGCTTGCCAGGCAGGTGCTTAGGCCACCGAGCTATCTCTCTGGTCCATAACTCATGTGTGTTTAAAGCAGCTCTTGCCACCAAATGAATCTTGGTGCCAAATAAATAATAAATTTATTTTATTTATTATTATAATAAATAATATTTATTTATTTGTTTATTTTTTTCTCAATAAAATTATGGGAAAAAAGTGATAAGTAAAAAAAATAAAAAAATAAGAAATAAAATAAATACTAGGTTTGTATTAAGCTGATTTGTTAATAGTGTTTTAACATGGGCAATGGTAACGTAAAGAGAGTTCAATATTGTATTTTAGGTTTTGTTATCTCTGAAAACTTGCCTTTGTAGAACATTCAGTGGTCTGGTTTTCATGTTTCAGAATGAGCTTTTTCAGTGCTTTCCAAGTAGTTACAATAATCATGGATGTTGTAGACTTACAACCCTTGGTCCAGATATGCTTTGAAATTTAGAATGTAGGTTTTAGAAAATAATATAGTATATATGTGATGTGTAACATTCCAAGTAGAGTCTGGGCTACCACCAGGCAATAATATTATTATGTTTCTGCAATGAAACATAAATTTTTATGTTCAATTAGATAAATAATTAAATAAAGTTAATCCATGTGTATATGTGTTTCTTTAAAAATCTCTCTTTCACTCTTGCTGTTGCTCTCTCTTTTCTCTCTCTTTGGTATAGGATCTTACTACACATCTCAGACTCATAGGGATCCTCCTGTCTGAGCCTCCTCAGTGCTGGGATTATAGGCGTGTGCTATCACCCCTGGTTTCAATGGCCGGTTTGGTGTGTGTCTAGCGCGGCATACAGTACTGGAGATCAAACCTGGGTCATTGTGCTTGCCAGGCAGGTGCTTAGGCCACCGAGCTATCTCTCTGGTCCATAACTCATGTGTGTTTAAACAGCTCTTGGCACCAAGTGAATCTTGGTGCCAAATGTATAAAAAGTCTTTTGTTTTTCAGAATTTTGGGGCTTTGGATTATGAATTTAGGATTATAGACTGTTAAAACATAGAGACTTTTAAAAGATGAGTACATTTTAAGTATATTTGGCCTCATTGTTTTTTCAGATACTTTAATGTGGTATTTTTCACTTTTTAAAAGGAGTCATAGACACTGTAGAAGTAATTGCTGCTGTGAAATCACTGGGTGTCGATATTTCGGAAGCTCAGGCAAACAGCATTCTCAAAAGGTCAGCACTTATCCTCATTTTTAATAGCTTTTATTTATGCCAGAAATTAATTTCTATAAATACAGCATCTCCATCTATAACTTTGTAACAAATCTGCTCCTACTTGCTTAATTTGACTTACTTTTGTGTCTGATTCTACTAGAAGCAATTTTCAAAGGCATTCCATTAAGTGACTTGCATAGCAAAAGCCAAATGAATGGCACGTGCTACTAGTGTGGTTCCTCAGACCGTACTTAACTGGGTCCTCTGAATGCATGTGGGAGGCAGGGCAAGGAGACAGCAAAAGGAACTCCTGTCTTCTGCTTCTGCTTGAACCAAACAGTTGCACGTTGATTTTTTCTATAAAGCTGTTGGAAAGATTTCTTTTGGAGAAGGGATTCCATGGTTGAAACCTCTGTACTTTTATAGAATGAGGCAAAGATGATACTGATTGATTGATTGTGCTGGGACTCAAACGAGGGCTTGCTTGTGTGGCTTGTATGTCTAAGCAAGTCCCTGCCTCTGAGCTATACACCCAGCCAGAGATAATTTAAGGATAAGTTTAAGGGGGCCGGTACAGGACTACAGAAAGATGAATGTAAAACTTGGTACTGTCTGGAACCCCCATATTCACTTGTACTCTACCACCGCTATCTCTTCCTGAGGCACATATTGCTGGGTGATTGCTTGCACAGGCTCGTTAGGTAGCATGTGTGTTCCCAAACCAGCTCTTTCAGTCCACCCCTTACATTATGCCAGTTTGGATTTGTTCATAATGCTTCCAAGTGTCTGGTGCTGCTTTGATACATCCTCTGCATAAAGTTGAGTCTAAATAGGTTAGAGTGGCATGTTTGATGGTATCTGTGACTTCAAATATCTCCTCATTTGGTGGGTTTCAGTTTATAACAAGGATGAGATGTGTTTCTAGCTGAAGCCGAGATGGATAAACTTGAAGGGGGAGGCTGAAGGGCAGAAGCTTTCATTTGCTATATGAGACAATGCTTCGAGGACAGTGCTTTGAAGTCTGGCAATTTCAGTTATTTCTTCCCAGTGCTCATAGCTCTGATCAAGTGAGTTTTGTATTTTTGTTGTAGTAGTGTTGAATAAAAATAGTAATGCTGGATGTCTTGTCTTTTTCTTGATTTTAAAAGAAATGCTGAAATTTTATCATTATATCACTAATATTTTATCATTGTAATCTTTCCCATATTAAAGAAGGCCCCTCCTGTTTTGTTTTAAAACAAGAAATTATTTTAAAATGACAAGTAGGTTTAAATTAAGAGATGATTGATAAGATATCTTTCAGAATCTGTTGATGTATTTGTCTTGAGCCAGGGTCATCCTATTTAGTTCAAGTTGGCCATGAGCTTGCTATATAGCCCAGGTTGACCTCAAACTCATGGCAACCCTTGTGCCTCAGCCTCCCAAGTGGTGGAACTGCAGGAATGTGTCACCACAGCCAGCTGTTAATGTGATAAGTTACTTTCTAGAATTTGCTCTTTATTAACTTATCCTTATGTTCCTGGGGTAAATATAACCTTTTAAAAATACTCTGTTGGATTCAATTTGCTAAAACTTATTCATAGTGTTAACATTTATATTTATGAGAGAGATTGCCCTATTCTTTTCTCTGTCTTGACTATCCTAATGGAATATTGTTTTGGTTACATTGACCTTAAGGAGTTGAGGAGTAGTCTCCCTTTTCCTATTTTTTGTAAGATAGTCAATAAAATTGGATCTATCTATTTATTCCTTAAAGGTTTAAAAGAATTTAATTATAAAACCAGTTGTTATGGCTTGTACCTAGAGGTCCCACAATGCCTCCTGTGCTCATAGGTAGGGCTTTTGGGAGGTGGCTGGGTCAAGGGTGTGTGATAGGAGATTAAGGGTGTGTGAATGTTGGCTTAGTCCACAGGTTGGTTTAGCATAATTGGGTTGTTGAATGGATTTATTAAAGACAAAAGACCCACACTCGATGTGAATAGCAACCAACCAACAGGTTTGTAGCCTGAATGGAATAGAAGGGAAAGGAAGGCTTACTATTTATGGCCTCCTGTCTACCCCGCCATGGACTTTTTCTCTTCAGCCGTGTTCCACAGCCATGCCTCCCTGTTTTGGAGTCAGCTGACCGTAGACTGAAACCTCTACAGACCGTCAGCTAAAATAAACCTTTTTTTCCTTTAACTTTTGGGCTTGGGTATTTTGTCCTGGCAATGAGAAAGTACGTAAGATACCACTTGAGTGTTACAGTTTTTTATAGGAAGATTTAAAATAATTGAGTCAATTTCATAAACAATTGTAAGATCATTCTCACTTTCTATTCCTTTTGAGGTCAGTTTTGGAAAACTTTGTTTTTCACAAATTTATGATTTACATCTAAATTTTCAAATTTACTGGCATAAAGTTGTTCATTGTATTCTCTAAATCTATGTTCTTTTCATCTGTAATGTTATATATGCTTTTATTCCAACCAATTTCATTGAAACTTCCTCTATTACTGATTCTTTCTAATAATCAAATTTGGCTTTGTTATAAGACTGTGGTTATGTTTAATGAAGTTATTTGAATCTAAAAGAATCTCAAATCACATAAGGATAAAAGTAGAGCAATTGTTCTTTTAATACTGTTTATTATTTTCTAAAAAGTTAGTTTCACTAATTGCCAGATTTGTTTTCTGTTACAAGCAAGAGAAGTAACTCGAAGTACTTTTAGAAGTGATTTTGCTATATTCCACAAGTTTTTGTGTGTGATTTCTGATGCTCATTCTTACATAGTTCTAAACTTAAATGCTTGTATTGTATTTTTGTTTTTCACTTGAAATATTTAGAAGTTGATTATGTCGAATTTTTAAGAGATTTTTATTATTAATTTCTGTTGTAATTGTACAAAAGTTAAAGAAGATGGCTTGATACTATTTCTTCAAAATGTTTTTAGATTTACCTTATGATCTTGAACAGTGAAAGTTTTTATGAATATTTTATATATAATTGAGTACTTTTTAAACATTGTAGGCAAGGCTCTATAGAATGTCCATTAAAATAATTTTGTTAATTTAATTGTTTAAATATTGTCCTATCTTGCAGATGACTGATTAAGTTGAAACCCACCACTCTGGTGAGGAGTTTTCAATTTTTTTAAATATTATTTTTAACTTTATATGTGTTGGGGGTATTTTCAGACTATCAGCTTCAGAATTGTTAATTTTTTCTTTTCTTATGTTTGTATTTAGGACAGGGTCTACAGGGTCTCACTAATTAGATTTGACTCTTAGGGATTCTCCTGTTCTCAGTCTCCCAAGTGCTGGGATTACAGATGTGTACCATCACGCCCAGTCTCGTCACTGGGCTGTTTTAATCACTTCTCAGCGTACCCCGGAATGGGGCCAGCATGGCACGCTGGGGATTGAACCCTGATCTCCCGGCCATTGGGCTCTGCCTAAGCAGGCGCTTTAGTCCACTGAGCTATCTAGCTGGCCCAGAATTGGTAATTCTTTTTTTTTTTTTTTTTTTTTTTTTGTATTTTAGGGAAGGGCCTACAGGGTGTTCAGGGTCTCACTGTTAGATAGGACTTGCAGTGATCTGCCTGTTTACAGCCTCCCAAGTGTTGGGATTGGCATGTACCACCACGCCCAGTGTCAGTTGCCTTCTCAGCATGCCCTGGGGGCGGGGCTGGCACAGCAGACCCCGAGGATCAAATCCCTGAGGTATTTGGCCTGCCCTCCAGAATTGTTAATTCTTTTTTTTTTTTTTTTTTTTTTCTTGTGGAACCAGGGATTGAACTCAGGCCCTCGTGCTTATTCCACTGAGCCATCTCCCCGGCCCCTAGAATTGTTAATTCTTGATAAATGCAATATTGTATCATTCTGTAGTACTATTTTGCTTGATACTATTATGGTACAAATCCAGCCTTTTATCTTCTCAGTATTTGCCATAACTTACCTTTTTTTCATATGTTCCTGTGTTAGTTAGCTTTCCTTTGCTGTGACAAAATACTTGAGATAATCAATTTACAGAGAAAAAAGGTTTATTTTGACTAATGCTTTCAGAGCTTCCAGTCCGTGGTTGCTTGGCTCTGTTGCTTTGGGCCTGTGGTGGCACAGTGTATCAGGATGGAAGCACATGATAGGGAAGGGCTGTTTGTTTCTTGATAGCCAGGAAGCAAAGATAGAGACAGAAGGAGCCAGAATCCAGATGTCCCCATTCAGAGACCTCACCACCATGGCCTAATTTCCTTTCACTACGTGAAAAGAATACTGTTTATCCTAAAGATCTTCTCTTTGCTGTCTGTAGCTTTTTATGTAGTGAGCAGACTTTTTTTTTGTTAACTCTGTTAGAGAGATGTTTTTTTGTCTTTTAACACTTCTGGAAAACTCTTGATCTTTACCTCTTTAAATGTAGCCTACCCTTTAGCTTCTCTTATTTATTTATTCATTTATTTTTATGTATTTGGTACAAGGTCTCACTGTGCAGCTCCGACTCAGCAATCCTCTTGTTTTCAGTCTCCCCAGTGCTGGGACTACAGGTGTGCACCACCATGCCCATGGGGCGTGGCCAGTGTGGTTGACCCTCTCTCTCTCTCTCTCTCTTTTTTTTTTTTTTTTTGCGGAACCAGGGATTAAACTCAGGTCTTTGCACTTGCCAGGGAAGCACTTATTCCACTGAGCCATCTCCCCAGCCCAGACCCTCTCTTTTTAGCATATGTTTTCTTTCCTCTTTTTCTGTGTGGGGCATTCTGGTTAAGTCTTTCAAATACATGCATGCCATCATTTAATCATTCTAATGAGTTTTAAAATTTTTTTTATTCATTGAAATTCTGTTTGGTCTGTTTTCAGTTACGGTTGGTAATTCCTCATGGTTTCTTTTTATTTTTGGATTCTTATTTCTTAGTGTTGGCATGTATCTTGTTAATCTGTATTTCATATCTGGCAGTTGCAATATTTTAAGTCCTTGAAAGCGTAAATCTGTTTCTGGCTATTGATGTGAACAAAGTCTAACTATATTCTGTTAAAGAGTTTGATTTTTTTTTTTAATAAATCAAATGTTCATAGACAAAAGGATGGAAAAAGCAAGATCCATTACTAAAATATAAAGAGGTCATTTTATAGTGATTGGACCTTTAATTTACTGAGAATATATAAAAATTATAAATTTGTATGAAACTAACAATATAGCCCCAAATTTGAAAAGCAAGAATTGAGGGCCCCGGGAAATAGTCCAATAAAATAAATGCTTGCCTGGCAAGCGCAGGGTTCTGAGTTCAATCCCTGGTATTGCAAAAAAAGAAAAAAAAAGTATTGAAGAGACAATAGGAAAGAATAGATGAGTACAGTAAGAGAGTCTAACATAGATTTCTCAGTAATAGCATAAATATACAGAAAATATCAGTAAGAGTAGAAAATTTAAACAATACTACTATCAATATTTAGCTGGGAAACCTACATAGACTATTACATTCAAAACTGTAGAATGTATGTTTTTAAAACACATATAAAATTTCTTAAGAGTTAACCCTATGCTGGGTCAAAAGAAATGCAAAATATTAAAAATAATTGAAATTAGGTAAAATATGTTCTGTATCCCTCATGCAGTTGAACAAGAAATAAGATTTCTTATAATAAAATTGTTTTTAACAAGTTTATTAGTGCAAATTTGATAGAAATGTGTTAGTTTTATCAATTTGTAGATTGATGGAATGTTTAAAATATGCTGTTAAATAATGCTTTTAAGAAAACTTGTAAATTGCCAGTAGCACTAATTACTTAAAATTTAAATTTAGGAACTAGTGTGAACATCAGTAATAGCTCTAGATGTCAAGGAATGCTGTCACGAAGCTGCCGGAATTTCTCCTATAAGACTCAGCTACTGGAATCATAATTCCTAACAACACATTGTCTTAAGTGAAAACAAAATGATGAAGCACATATTATCCATGTTTTCTAATACTTATTTTCTCTTCAAATATCTTTATTTCACCTTCATTTTTTAAAAATGTATTTAGTACTGGGTCTTACTATGTAGATCAGACTCGTCGTGATCTTCCTGTCTTCAGCCTCCCAAGCGCTGGGATTACAGGCACACACCACCATTCCCAGTCTCAGTCGCTGCCTCAGTGCGCCCTGGGGGCAGGGCCGACATGGCACACCGGGGATCAAACCCCAGCCACTGCGTTCTGCCTGAGCAGGTACTTTAATCCTCTGAGCTATCTGGCTGGCTCTCACCTTCATTTTTGATGGTTATTTTGTTATATATAGGATTCTAGGTACAGTTCATTAAACTTTAACTAAATTTCACTTATTAAAGATGTGTGCTAGTATACTTGTTTCTGATGCAAACTCAGTGGTTGCCATTTAAAATATCCCCTGTATGTAATGTTTCTTTTTTTCTCCTTTTCTCCCTTCACTCTCTCCCCTTTTTCCCTCCACTCTCTTCTTTTTTCGCTTTCTTCCTTTGTTCTTTCTTTACTTTCTTAAACCGCAGCATTCCTCCACTACAGAAGTTTTATTAAGCTCACAGCCCTCCATTAACTATTTCTTAAGCATTTTTTTTTTCTGGAACCAGGGATTGAACTCAGGCCCTTGCACTTACTAGGGAAGCTCTTATTCCACTGAGCCATCTCCCCAGTCCTCCGTTAACTATTTCTATGTAGCTTAGTATTTGGCAAACATGTCAAGAGTTTTTGAATGCCTTTGTAAGTTCCTGCCCCAACCTCCCCTTACCTCTGGCCCTTTTTATTCTCTTCACAAGCTCTCCTACTTCTCTATTGCAGTTTGGAAACTATTCCCAGAAAGTAGAGCAAATGCGAAGCTCAGCTCATGTTTGCTTTTCTGAAGTATCACAGTACTGTCCTGTTTGTGGAGCAGTCCTGAAAACAGCTGTTTCTTATGTTGTGTCCAGTTTTATTATTTGTACAGTGGGAGTATAAGTTCTACACTCATTATTTTGTCTTGGAAGTAGAAATTGCACTAAATTTTTTGATGGCCAAATGCATTTTGCTTTTTAGGTATTTCATTTAGAGAAAAGCTATTAAAAATCATTTCTCTTAGTTCTACCTTTACCTTGGATACAAAGAAAGAACTTATTATATTTTTTAAAATTTAAGATTTTAAAAGATTGAGTAGGGGCCGGGCAGATGGCTCAGTGGAATAAACGCTTCCCTGGCAAGCACAAGGGCCTGAGTTCAATCCCTGGTTCCACAAAAAAACCCAAAACAGAAACAAACAAACAAAAAAACCCCATTGAGTAAATATTGGCTTTTGCATTGTAATAAATGAGTCTCATTTTTATTTGGTAGAGGGTCTCACTACAGAGCTTAGACTCTCAGTGACGCTCCTATTTTCGTTCTCCTCAGTGTTGGGATTATAGGTGTGCGCCACCATGTCTGGTCTCAGGTGGCTGGCTCAGCATGCCTAGGGGCGGGGCCACCAAGGCCTGTGGTGCCTGGGATCAAACTCCAGTCCCTGTGCTTGCCTTAGCAGGCACTTAGTCTGCTGAGCTATTTCACCCACCCAAGCCTTTTTCTTAAGTTCATAACTTTGGAAAGTTATTTCAAAATTGATGAGAATGCTATAGAAAAAAGAAGAGGATCAGCAGTAAAAATAATACCAGAAGAACCAAAAGGTATAAAGGTTACTCTTCCGTCAGTTTTATTTACTTATCACTTATTCATCAAACATTTATTGGATTCTTAGTACTAAAGATACACAGATGACTTAGATATAATTATCCCTTTATAGGTTAACAGGACAATCTAAGATAAATACATGTAAGTAAACAACAGTGTAGAATTATCTCAGTAGAGGGACATTCTATAAAATATTGGACCAGTATTCCTTAAAACTGTCAAGATTATTAAAAAAATAAGGAAAATGTAAGACACAGTTATAGCCAGAGGATTCTAAGGAGACATGACAGTTAAAAGCAAAGTGGAACCTTGAATGGACTTATGAAGGCAAAGAAGGGCATTATCTAAAAACTACAAAAGTCTGAATAAAGTATGAAATTTTAATAATAATATAGTTAATTAAATGTAAAAAATGTACCATGTAATGTAAATGTTAATAATAGTTGGAACTGGATTTGAAGATGTATATGAATTGTATGTAATATCTTCTCAACTTTTCTAAAAATCTAAATCTGCTCTAAAAATAGTTTAGTTTAAATAAAACAATGTGATGGTTGGGGAGATAGCTTGGTGGTATAAGTGCTTACCTGGAAAGTGTAAGGACCTGGGTTTGATCCCCAGTACCGCATGCCATGCTGTTCCTGGAATTGCCTGCGCGGAGCCAGCCACTGAAATCAGGTGTGGTGGCACCTGCCTGTAATCCCAGTGCTGGGGAGGCTGCGACAGGAGGATCACTATAATTCTGAGCTGCACGCAAGACTCTGTATCAAACAAATAAATGTGAAAATACAGTGATTTTCATGAAATTCAAGACAGTGGCTCTTATGTGTAATTTTTATAATGGTGCTTTGTTATAAATATTACAAAGAATATTTTAAAAATATATTTCAGCATGGATAGTGATGGGACATTGACAATAGACTGGGATGAGTGGAGAGACTACTTTTTACTTCATCCTGCAACAAATATCAATGAAATTATCCGTTTCTGGAAGCGTTCTACTGTAAGATGACTTTGTTTTACTCTATTTTTACTTTCTTCTAAATGTCATACTTTCTGTTACCATTAAATTATCCTCACAATATTTGGAGCATCAGAGGCTAAAGTTATAGTATTTCCTTCTAATAATGTTTTATAAAATTATTAAGAGGTGTTAACATTATGTGTAAAAACCCAGTACCACTGTTTGTTTTTGAAACTTAGAGTTTAGAATGACTGCCTATAGGAAGCCTATGTTAAGAATTAATTACTATGATGTAGTATTAGCTTAGAAAAGTTAAATATAGTATATTTTTTACTTAAATTAATAATTTCTTCATAACATACTATTTTTATCCACCCTCTTGGTGTTTTGCCTCCTTCTCATAGATGATATAGAGGAAGAAAAACATAAACTTGAAATTGAGACTGCCTGATTTTCTTTTTGGTACCTGGAACTGAACTCAGGACCTTGAACTTGTCAGCCGTTGTGCTGCTGAGCTATATCCCAGGACCCCAGAATGCATAGCCTTGAATCCCACATCCAATAGTCAATTCTCACATCTCTCTGAGTTATTTTTTTTTATTGTTGATTGTTCTATCTTGAAACTACCCATTTTACTTTGCTTCCAGGATCATGTATATTACTGGTTGTTTTGCCTCTCTAGTCTCTCTTCAGTGTGATTCTTCTCATTATTCTTTTTATTTCTTATATTTAAACATCATTTTTTTATTTTAAAGAGAAAGCATAATAAAAATTCAAACAAGAGAATAGGAGGGTTGAGTATATCTGTAGTTGTTTCTGTATATAATTATCTGCTCCACTGATTGTCAGGTGTCTTTTGTTGCCAGCACCATGCTGTTTTTATCACAGTAACTTAACACTGTGATTTCAAGTGAAGGTTTGTGATGCCCCCAGCCTTGCCTTTGTTGGCCAGAATTGCCTTTGCTATTCTAGGTCTCTTCTGGTGCCAAATGAATATTAGGCTTGCGTTCAGTAATTCTGTGAGATAAGCTTTTAGAATTTTGATTGGAATTGCATTAAATCTGTATAACAGTTTTGGGAACATGGTCATTTTCACTGTATTGATTTTTCTACCCAAGAGCAAGGGATATGTTTTCATTTTATGATATCTTCTTCAATCTCCATTTTCAGAGTATTGTAGTTTTCAATGTAGAGGTCTTTTGTATTCTTCATTAGACTGATTCCTATATATTTCAGTTTTTTGAATGCTATTATAAAAGATGTTTCCCTAATTTCTCTCTCAGTGAATTTGTTCTTCATGGACAGGAAGGCTATTGACTTTTTGGGTGTTTATGTTGCATCCAGCTACACTATTGAATTTGCTTATTAAATCTAATAAAGTTTTTTAGGGTCTTCTATGTAGAGTGTCCTGTCATCTGCCAATAGTGGTAACTTAACTTCTTCCTTTCCCATCTTTATTCCTTTTATTTCTTTCTCTTGTCTAATTGCTCTGACTAAAGTTTCTAGGACTGTGTTGAATAAGAGTGGAAACTGTAGACATCCTTGTTCTTCTTCTTCTTCTTCTTCTTCTTCTTCTTCTTCTTCTTCTTCTTCTTCTTCTTCTTCTTCTTCTTCTTCTTCTTCTTCTTCTTCTTCTTCTTCTT